CTCCATTCAGAACAGCGGATGAACTAGTCCACGGGTCAATATGGCGACACACTAAAAAACTTGCCGTTTAAACCAGTAATAGACACTGAATAGATCCCCTCCATGGATTATGTAACAGGCATTCATATTTGATCCAGTTAGTCTGCTGTTCTAATGGCCCATAAGTCTGATGCAATGTGATGTGTAATACAGGTAGTTCTTTCCTGTTGTCTAGTCACATTTTGGCATCCGCTGAAAGTTTGGATGATTGCCGGTCCAGGTTTGTTCTAGGTATGAACAGACCCATATAGGTACTATAATTATAATGGAATTATTGATATTATTATATGATTTTCTTTTAATTCTTTTTTTCAGTATTTTCTTTAATATTTTTCTTTTAATTTTTTTTTTTTTTGTGTGTGTGTGTGTGTGACAGAAAAGAACACAATGAAATACACAAATCTGTTTTTCATTTCTATGAATGCCCCATTTCTGCAGCTGCATGTCACTTTTCATTTAGGCCTTGCATAACCAGTGCCCCGCCCTCTTGTCCTCATGTGATAAAGCATGTGCCAGCTGTCCTTGCTTTATAGCTATCCTTAGCAATGTCCATTAGCAATGCCCATTGCTTTGCTTCGATTGATCACCATTACCATTCTTCTGGAAATGGTGCAAGACTCATTTGCAATGTTCATCACCTTTTTTTTTCAAAACCACCAGTCATCAAACTGTGCACAAAGCAATGTTCATCTCTTTGCAGCAAGAGCGCCTTTCTATAAACTGTGCAATATTAGTATATCTTGTCAATAGAAAGTGCAGCAGAAGAAAAGTAACAGTGAGTAAACAGTAGTTAGAAAACGTTACTGCATCACCTCATGGTTTCCACTGCAAGAGGAACAACTGATACTGAAAAAAAAATGCATGAATTTCTCTCAGAAAAATGTCAAAAATACTTCTCAAATACACCTCATATCACTTCCCACACAATACAGTTAAGTCAAGAAAAGTTAACGAAACTCTCAAAAACAGAGCTCATAGGCGCCATAAAATACCACATTCAATTCATCTGCCCAACACACTTTATCTCTTGGGCTTAATGAGAGCATATTTCTAGTTCCTCATCTAAAAAAATGACAGATCATGGAGCTTTGAATGATATTCATCATCACTAGTCTTCCCCATCTTAACACCCACTGAATGTGACTGAGTTTGACCTGCGAAAACCCTCAGCAGCAGCGAGCTCAAACAATGGCATAAAAACTCCCAAATTAATTCATCAACCTTACTTCAACTGACACTTGAGAACCTTCAAACAAAACACTGATAAAAACCTGCTCCCTGGTACTTATAATTGGCCACATTTACACTAGGGAAATTCTGGTTCACTCGTGGGGCGATCCAAGCTCTTTGCAGTTTCGTACTTGAATTCGACATTCTTCTGATTTTTAACACTGATCAATAGCCCACTTTACACAGCAGCAAATCCAGTAAGCAGAAGGCGCAATCCAGGCTCGCTTTTTGAACCAACTACATATGGATAGGCAATGGGTATCAATGGTATATACATAGAAAAGTTCTGTGCATTGTGTTGCATCGACATTCCTCTTAATTAAGTTAATACCAAACCATCTTTTCTCCATTATATACCCGTAACTTTCCCATGTGCCTCTCTATTCAAGGGAATGGAGTAAGTAAGGAAAACCAGCATTTTCTTGCACCTTATCTGATCTATCAAAAAAGATTGGTGGAGAAAAAATTATAAAAATACAGCGGATATAGGGGAAAATCAATATCATGATAGTCAATAAAAAGGCATTAAATTTAACATAACTAAGGGTGCATTCCCAGAGATTTAGATCAATCCTGAAATTTAGATTTAGAGCGACCTAACTCCCTGGGGGTTCACGCTAATTTGCAGTCAGCCGAACAGGCTCCATAGTTAATTACCCCCTTACAGCTTTTAGTAGGCGTGACAGACGCTTAAGCCGGCTTAGCTGACAGTAATCTAGTGAGACTCCCCACAGGGATAGATCGATCTAAAATCTATGGGAATGGGGTCTTAATCTTAAGTCAGGTGAGAAAATTTCAGGATCAGACCCTTAACCCATCTCGAAAATTTTATCTTTGCGAACCTGGACCGCACCTACATCAGACCAATAGACCTAATGTAAACAGATGATTTGATGGCTTCTGTAGAGCCCAGAGCAGAGGTCAGTGGAATCAGGGGTTTTTATCAATGCCCTAACTGTTTGTACAACAGCAAAACACTGGGCTGCCTGGAAATGGAAGGCAATTACTGCTATAATAGGCCAGACCTCTGTCTATCTCCGTTCTTTATGACATTTTCAAATCAATATTTTTCTACAGGCTAGAGAGGCAAAAATGTATGTACACAGACGTCTGTATTTCCAACCTTCTCCACCTCCACTTCCCACCAACTCCCTCTTTAAGTTTCTTTAGCCTTCCTTTTTTTTTTAGTCTCAAGCCCTCCTCTCTCTCTCTCTCTCTCTCTCTCTCTCTCTCTCTCTCATACCTTTGCATTTAGAGAAAGGGAGGTGAGAGAAAGAGAGAAGGGGGCACATATGAAAATGCATGTTAGAAAGAGATGCACATGGGAATGTGTGTGTGTGTGTGTGTGAGAGAGAGAGAGAGAACTAAAATACACTGCTGATCCCATACATAAGAGAATGGAATCAAAGAGTTAGAAAATACTACAAGAGCAAGGCACAGCCAGCACTTAGTATATGGCAGTTTGTCTTTTTCTCCTGACATAAATCACATCAAGTGGATCAGGAACAGATCCTTATTAGCTGCACTGATAGGATCCTCTGTAGGCAGAGCAGTACCTGGGAGGTTCTAATGGGATTATTACAGAGATAGCCGAACTCCCTAATATCCAATATCATGGTGGATAGTGTATTACGGCATTTGTCTGCCTGGGACCATTCCCAGAGTCTATCGTACTAACTGCGGATCTATCTATCTCAAAGGGGATTCTTACTAAATTGCAATTAACTCAAGCGGCTTAGATGTCTGCCACGCCTAATGAAGTTGCTAGGTGGGTAATTAATTATCCTTTCGCAGCTTCAGTGAGCATGCCAGACATCTAAGCCACTTAGGCTGAAAGCAATTTAGCAAGAAACCCCTTGGAGATGGATCGGATCCTGTTAGATCGATCTAGGTATTATAGGAACCCAGACCCTGTCTGGAACCTGCTGTTTGTATGTCCATGTGTGTGATCTACCTGCTCCTTGGTGATAACAGCAGAACATTTCATATCTTATTTTAAAGCCAATGGACAGAACATTTAGTTAAAATTAATGATACTCAACATAGGCTAACATCTAACATGTTGAATTATAATTTTGTGAATAGTTTAGCCATAGATATGGAATACTTTGATGATTGTGGGAAAAAAACTGATTTTTTTTTGGCTGTGTTAGGGTGTAATGCTCATTACAACTCCATTAATTACCCATGTAATAAAAGCTATTATTAAAACAGCCAGATCTTACAGCTCATCCAGGCCCACAGACGAGGAGGGGTGGGGGTGGTTGGGTGGGGATCGTTGGGGGGGGGGGGGGGGAG